CATGGCACGGAAACGATCGGAATTGATGTTAACAGCAGCGCTTTTTCAAAAAAACAGATGTCGCCGGTCCAAATGCAGCATAAAGCAGTTACTCGTTGAGGAATTAATGGATTTTTCATGAAAACGTGTGTCCCTAAATTAGAAAAAAGTATCTTAAAGATCATAATTCTTCTTCTTTTTGCGTCAGTTGCAACCGAGTGCTGTATAAATATTCTTAAAGTTGGAGTGTTTTTATCCTCTTAGTGAACTACGTGACCTTGCCGATGTCTCTTAATTCTCTGTAATATTTCAATGTTGTCAGATATCTCGTGCAGCTCATTGAATATTAAGCATCCAAGAGAAATGTGTAACCGAGATCTTCTGAAATCGGTCTCAGTTTCACGACTGTTCTGTCTATCATTAGGTTGCAGTAATGGGACTCGTGGATTTTTCAGTTTTCCCCTCGGTCAGTTAAATGAAAAGTGGGTAATCCTGAGTTTATAATTAAAAAGTTTTTGGACTTCGAAAATTCCTGTTAATTTTGTTAACTCCGAAGAGCATCATCCTTGTTAGAAATGTTAAAATTTAAGTAGTCGAAACTCTTCCAACGTAAAACGTTCCACTAAATTAATGTGTAGCAGCGTTGTTAGTAGACAAACCAAATTTTCATTACGCAAAGGAGACATTAGTACTCGTATGGATGTTTTAACGGGACAACCACCTCTTACCAACCATAACTAAAAGAGACATAAAGTGGAATCGGTGGTGGACAGAGCACTACGACCTTTGCAGATGTCCGGCCGTTAGCCGATTGAGACGTCACATCCTCCATGACAATCCCAGCGAAATTTTGGTAAGCGCCTAGTTTGGATACACTGGGTAACACAATGAGCCTGCTCAATGGCTTAGGTGCATCCGCTGCGGTTAGGTGTTTGACCTCTCCCTTTCAACAAACCAGCCGACCTTAAATTTAATTTGTAATTCAATAAAATAAAATTAAATGGTTCGATTTAGGACATATATACATATATAAAAAAAGTTATGAAAATGAATTTTCCATACTGCTAAGCTATTCACTTAACTACCATTGCATTTTAAAAATTGTCTCCAACTCGTTTTACACTGATCAACATCAACTACCTGCGACAAATGCCAGCTGACAGGTCATGTGTCAAATGGAATTAATTAATCCGAATCAGTGAAATATGTGTACTCACAGAGCACAAGTGTACCTCACCAACCTCTAAGCGCAATTTGTTACGCTGTCCGCGTTTTGCTTTGTACATCTCAATCTTAATTTGCAAGCACTTTGGCCACTCCACCGAAACAAGATATTGATAATAATGAACTTTGGAATCAACTGCGGAAAAAGAAACAAGGATAGAAGAAAGAAAAAAAAATGCAGATTCATCAAAAACGTCTGAAACATAGTTATGATTTCTGCTGCTGCTGGGAGTTTGCGTTATCGCGCTCACATCTGCATTCGAAGGTGGAAACGGTAAGCTTCTTTCGATTAGCATTTACTAAGTATTTCCATTGGCTTGTACATTGCTCTGGTTTCATCCGTCGCCTCTTTATTAAAGATAACAATTGCAAAGCGACTGAGAAAAATATTAAGTTGGTGTATCACTTCGATGATGCCGCCCACTCGTTTTCATTTCGGAAGTACAGAGTTTGCAACAAAAAACAATCAAAGCACAGAAGTGGGAATTTAGTTTCAAGCTTGCATTTTGTGCTCCATTCCAGTGATTGCGCGCCATGCCCATCCTCTTACTTTCCGCTTCCTTTATTGTTATTGAAAAATATTTGTTTGTGGAATTGTTTCTGTAAAAGTGTGTGTAGCAGTAAACGAAGTTTCGTTTGGCGTTTACTCAAGAGAAGGCATAGAGAGATGTTGACAGTTTTTGCTGGAGAGGGAGCTTTCGAAAGCAATACCACTGGTTACAGTTTTTCTATTTGCTCAGGTTCGGAGTGGGGAAAACTACGCCAATAACTGCATTTACCGTAAATAAAAGACTTGAAAAATATTTTATTTTTTGTTTGGATTTACCTGATCTCATTACATCACGTTCAAAATATTATTTAATATATTTTAAATAAACTAATAGTTGGGATCAAACCTTGTTGAATTGGATAAATATTCATGGGAGTTGAATGAACTGGGGAGCAGACATATCAAGAAAAAGAGTTACTCTAGCTGAAGACTTTTATTCATGCCAACCTTGCAATCGACCACAACACGTGCGGGGTGGTATAAATACAGAGAGCTGAAGAGATAAACAAGACGCATTTGCAGGGGAAAAAAGAAAGACGCAAAAAATCATGATTATAAGGAGTTCAAGAAACTGGCCGATAAGGGTAACGCCCGTAAGCTCTACGAAACGATACGACGACTTACAGTAGGTTTTAAGACCGGAGCAGACTCTTGTAGGACCCGTAGGCCCTAGGAGTGAACCAATGACCAAGAGTATACTGAATTTATGCAGGGAACACTTTTCTAGGTTTCTGAATGGCAATGAAAATGAAACACCCGGATGTGGTGAACCTGAAACCTCAATCGATGACGATGGGAAAGGCATTCCATTACCTGACTGTGAAAAATTTCGTATACAAAGCGGCTGAAGCTGAGGGCTAAGACCATTGACCAGGTATTCACTATGCGCTAAATCTTGGCAAAACTCGTGAAAAGAGGATCTACACCCGCCACTTCTTCGTCGCTTTTAAAGCAGCTTTCGACAGCATAATTAGGAGCTGTCTTTACGCCGCTAAGTCTGAATTTAATAGCATCGCATAACTGTATGATACTACTGGCCTCAACAACCGTGCTATGAGTTCTGCTTTTTCCAGGTTGGAGAAGCTAGTGAATGAGGGCACAACTAAAGATCTCCTGCCATCATACAAACAGGCACTGCATCCGCAACTCGGCTCCCATGTCACGTAGACAACTTCGTCTATAACTTCGATAATAATTTCAGCCTTGAAATCTTGTTTAGAATCACTTTTGCCAGCAGGTGCTACTTAGGAGGCAATTGAAAAGTAAAGTTCTCTCCCTACGAACGAAAATCAAACTCTGCAAGTGCCTCATCGTTCCCCTACTGCTATACAATGCGGAAGCATGGACGAGTACAACAGCCGTCTCTTCAGCGTTAGGGGTTTTCGGTAGAAAAATTTTGCGCAATATGGTCCTTTGCGCATTGGGAAAGGCGAATATCGCATACGATGGAACGACGAACTGTACGAGTTATACGGTGACATTGATATTGTTCAGCGCACCAAGAAGCAGCGGCTTCGCTGGCTAGGTCATCTGGTCCGGATGGATGCGAGTACTCCAACTTTGAAAGTTTTCGATGCAGTACCCGCCGGTAGAATCAGAGGAAGTGGAAGACCTCCACTCCATTGGATAAACCAGGTAGAGAAGAACCTGGCTGCACTTGGCACTTCCAATTGGCCCCAGACAGCAAAAATCGCGTAAACAGTGTCTACGCCAATAAAGTAGGTAAGTAAGTAAGTAAGATATACAGTTTTTTGGGTACTCAGCTTACCAAAAATTGAATTTCCAGGACCTTTCGGTTCTTTAATTCTTACAATTAGTAAATTAGAAGCTTGCGAAAACTGAAGCATAAAGGCACATCTGCGACTGTCCTCAACGAGGATGTAATACAAAGTTAGCGCAACTATAGATCTCTTCAAAGGTAGCCGAAGAAAACAGAGGGTATTATTGTAGCTTGCCCCGTCGTTCTGTGATCGGAAGCTGATGAAAGTCTATTGGCTCCACTCGTGGTGTTTTTCAGAGAAATAGGTCTTTTAGTTGTTGAGGGGAGATGATTGAAACTTCATTTCCCAAAGACCCGCCTTTCTCGGGCATTATTAGTATTTTTTTGCAACGTAAGGCTGACTGTCTGTTGCTTCTTTTCAAAAACTTTCAAGGCTACCTGTCGGACTCTATGAGCTCTCACGTAAGGTCTAATCGTTTTTTATTTGCCCATACATCTCCAGACGTATAAGCGGTTTCGGGTTGTGGCACTGAATCTGGACAGAGTTTAAACCGCTACTTTCCTCTACTTTATCGTACCTTGTGTGCTCCTACTGAGAGCTGTAACTCTCGGGGCCTACACTGCGGTATGGTCTTTACCTCCAGAAGCTTAAACCGTTAGAGGTTGACATTCCTCTTGCTGCTTAGCATTGGTCACTATGGGTCTTGAAGTCCAAAGCGGTTCAGAAAGGGTGATATATATGCGTTTTCGGCTGTGTCAACGCTGATTTCGAAGAAATTTGATGTGGCTTTGTACCGTCGTATCATGCGGTTGTATTTTTACCATCGCTGCATGGTGGCGGCAATTTTGTCACCCTTATTTCTTTTGGTTCGTAGAACACCTACTGAGACGAAGTTTTTCGGTGCTTGCAAAATGAAAAAAATATATATCTTAGAGGATCCATTAGAATACAGTCGGAACCATCTAATAGGTGCCTTTATACCCTGGTATATGTGTATAGGAAATGTCCTACACATTTCTTATCTAGAGCCATAGTGTTTTGTAATCTAACGGAGTCACCTCGAGAAACCTGTGTTAAAAAAACACCAGCGCAGGAGCAAACACGTTAAAATAAAGGAAAACAAATTTTCTGTCGATGTCCTCTAATGAAGATTCCGGTACCGTCGTTACATCCATCATGAATTATTACTTACTGCATAAAGTATATATATATCTGATTATGCTTATGTACATATATACGCGTGCAGAGTTCACCTCATAAAGCTTTCTTATCATTTAAGCACACTCTCAACAATGCCCTACTCTCCCCTTCGCACCGCATATGCCTTTGCGGTGTTTGCTTCCACTATTCATCAGCTGTTTCACAGCATCCCTAAACTGCGCACGTGCCTCGCTCTCGGAGCAATCTCAGTAGAAATTCACCATACACGTGGCTCTCGTCATGCACACACACTACACAGCTTAGGCTTGATACCAGCTCTGGACCACTGCATCATTCAGTCATCGTCGCGCTGTCATCTTTATTGGTTCACTTTTCGGAAGTGAATAACGCAAAGAAAACGGTTAAGAAAACAACAACGTTTGCTGTTAGTGAAGGTGGGTGTGTGTTTGCATTATAAACTTACAAGCGCGCGGATACACTTAAATATACATAAAACATGCACATAACATATTTTTGCTGGGGTCAAATGGATATACGAGTATATATATGTGAACTTAGGAAAAAGTTCAGATAATATCAATGTGAAGAAAACATATTGCGTGTAAATCCGTAAAATATATAATATAAACATTTCATAAGGTTATGGCTGTTATATAAATTACATAAATGTACTTATGTATTTAAATAAAAAATAAAAATAAAAAAACTGTCTGGTGGCCTGTGAGTTGGCCAAGCAGGCAGTCGGCCTCTCTGTCAAGTCGAAATTCCTTAATTGCATGTGACACATTTCGCATTTGCTGTGACATATTCGAGTGACAGTGATGTAAGTGTAACGGTAACAACAAACAGTGTGAAATAAATCGATTGACAATACTGTCAAATTTGTGATAAGAAAAAACTACACACATCTATAATTACATATATACGTATGCATCGCAACGCGTCAGTAATAAAGCTGCTAATGTGCCGCAAGCTACCGCAAGTCTGAATTTTACCGTTAATTAAGCTCTTTTTTCATCATACTCGTACTTACAACGCGCATTAAGTAACGCTGCACGCTCCTTTAGATATATAAGTATTTATGTGAAAAATTAAATAGCATACCGCTAATTGCAAACGTATGTATGTACATATGTACATAAATAAATGAGAAACGATTCAGCATTAAGTGTACTAGTGTGTGTGTATGGGTGTTTACGAGTGCTCGCAAAGTTAATTGGCGACAAATGTTGATGATGATGTTGACAGCGACGAAGCCATAACTCGGTCACTCGGTGGTGGCTGTGAAGTCACGTGTTACGCATAATTAATGATAAAAACAAATATGAATGACAAACAAGCGGATATGCGCACACCTATTCACATCTATGTATGTACATATATGTGTATATAGAAATCAAACTGTGTGCTTTTATATCTATGAGCAAACAGCAAGAAGTTATTGTACATATGTACATACATAAATACATACATAACTCATGAGCAAAAACAGAAAGTTTGCGCTGCATGTGCGTAGTTATTGTTTTTGCCTGTTGATACCCTAAGGGCGATCAAAGAGCGTCACGTGACTGATAGAAACGGAAAATGGTTGTGTCTCTTTTGTACTTATACCAATTATATGTTAGTAATATTATAATATATATATATAATATATGATAATTATAGATAAATAATAAAATATTAAATTAATAAAAAAAAATAAAATTATAGTAAAACATTATATAATAAAAATATATAAAATAAAATTAATAAAAAATAAAATGAGCTAAGTTAAAAATTATAAAAAGCAAAAAAAGAAAAATTAAAAAAATAATATGAAATGAAAATAACAAATGAAATAATTTTAATTGAAATAAAATTATTGAAAACTAAATAATATGAAACAAAATATGAGAAATAAAAAAATACTAATTGTATAAAATGAATTAAAATTGATAGAGCAAAACAAAAAAAAAAAACACGAAATGAATATAAAAAAATTAAGTGAAAGAAAACAAAAAAAAAAATATATTTAGTTATATAAATTCAAATGCAACAAAATAAACTAAATTAAATAAAATATTATAAAGAAGATCAAGATAAAATAAAGTAAATTAATGCAATATTAAAAAGGGTAACATAAAATGAAATAACACAAAATGAAAAAGAGAAAGTAAGTAAAAAATTATTATAAAAATAAATCTAAAAAATTTTAAGTAAAAAAGTGAACGAAATTAAATGATATACTAAATTTAGAAATACTGAAAAAAACAAAAATAAAATATAGTAATATAAAGTTTAATGAAATAATATAACGGAAAATAGGATAATAATAAATTAAGTAAAGTAAATTCAATAAAAAAATTAAGTTAAATTTAATAAAATGAAATAGATAAAATTAAATAAAAGAAAATAAAATAAAATGAAATATAAAAAACATTTTAATTAAATAAAATTAAACAAAATTATATGAAATAAAAAAAAATAAAATATTTTAAATTAAAATAAAATAACATGAAATTAAAAAAAAATTAAATTAAGTTATATTATATTCAAATTAAATTAAAGTAGAAAAAGTAAAACAAAGTAAAATCAAAGAAAAAACATATAAAAAAATAAGAACTAAAATAAAATATAAAAAACGTTAAATAAAGGTAAATAAAATAAACTAAAATATAACAAAACAAAATAAAATATTAGTTAATTTCGTTCTAAATGATGAAAAAAAATAAATCAAATTAATATAAAATAATGAAAAAGTAAAGTAAAAAAGCGAAATAAAATAATATATGAAAAAAATCAAATTTCTAAAAAGATTAAAAGTAAAATATTATAAACTAAAAAAAATTGGAACAACGGATGTTTTAATCGCCAAAACGACAAGTGGAGCAACGGACTTTAAGTTCTGGTTGGCTTACATTTTCTTCCGTGGTGCGAATTTTAAACAAACAAAGAATAAACCTTATAATATACCGTTAAAATACTGGCTTGAAAGCTGATAAAAGTAAAAGAAAAGTTTAAGTGTAATGTCTTAAAAACTGTTATTTTTTATATTTTTCGTTTAATCAGAGTTTGCAAAGCTTCGTATTTCCATACAAAAAATATCAATACAAATATCGATGAAAAAAGTTTGTTGTTCATTTAGTTGAGAGCTAAACAGTTTATTTAGTGCCATAAAAAAATTATCAAACTACGTAAATTTGTAAAGCATGTTATATTTATCTAAAAATCATATATAAGTCACTAGTGCGTGAAACATATTTGTTTAACGGCGTTCATCTATAAGTAATGTGCGCAGCGTAAGTTGCAGGTGTAAACAAATAATGTGCTAAAAGTACTGCACATATATGTAATCATATTCATGAACATATGTGTCTATGTCCCAAAGGGCGAGTAATTCGGAGTGTTATTATTTTGAAAATCATAAAAACCCAGTCACTGGTGTCGTTGAAACACGTAAACGCAATTATACGAAAATGTAAAATATAATGTCAAAATGCACTCATTTACATTACAGTACGAAACAAGAGTTAATTAATTAAAATTATGTATAATAAATGTATCTGCAGCATTTGGAGGGAATAAGCAAAGGAGTACGAATAAAGTTATTACACACTGTTACAGCTGGATTTTCATATAAATATGTAAGTATTCACAATTTATGTCTGAATATTTGATGTTATGTTAAATATTAAATACATATTAAAATATATCCATACATATCTATATAAGTATATTTATGCTTGTGATAATTCTATGGGTGAAAGTGTCGGTTTGCGAATTTCTGTTGACATGAAGATTAGATATATGATTCGTAATTACAATGTGATGTGGAAATATATAAGTTGCATATGTATAATATGCACATCTATTGTTAACAATGAAATAGCTTACTTCTATGAGTCTTTTCAATTTTGGGAACAGAAAGAAGTCACACCGGTCCGAATATGGTACAGATCCTTAATCATGGTGAGATAGTCTTGAAATCATTTCCCACTTTTACATTACAATGAGATGTATTGATGTTACAAACCGTCAGCGTGAGACCGAATCATTAAGCAAGACTCTTTATCACTCATTGCACTTTTAAGTAGAAAATAAACACCATCAATGACTTCATTCCGAAATTTCTGAGCAAATTTTNTATGTTAAATATTAAATACATATTAAAATATATACATACATATCTATATAAGCATATTTATGCTTGTAATAATTCTATGGGTGAAGTGTCGGTTTGCGAATTTCTGTTTACATGAAGATTAGATATATGGTCCGTAATTACAATGTGATGTGGAAATATATAAGTTGCATATGTATAATATGCACATCTGTTGTTAAATATATATATGATATATGAAATAGATTACTTGTATGGTTCTTTTCAAATTTGGGAACAGAAAGAAGTCACACCGGTCCGGATGTGGTACAGATCCTTTATCATGGTGAGATGGTCTTGAAATCATTTCCCACTTTTACGTTACAATGAGATGTATCGATTTTACAAACCGTCAGTGTGTGACCGAAGAAACAGTTAGTATAACATTGAGCTTGATTGTTTTTTTGTTTGTTTTTGGCTCTTTCATTGAATCGTTAAGCAAGACTCTTTATCACTCATTGCACTTTTAAGTAGAAAATAAACACCATCAATGACTTCATTCCAAAATTTCTGAGCAAATGTTCATGCGACATAAGGCAGATTTGGAATTGAAATTGTTACCTTTCGCTTCTGGCTTAAGTTTTCTATAAAAACCGCATAACATGAAAATCATCAATTTCTTCGATAGTTGTTCGATAATTCTCCTTAACAGGTTGGTGATGTTCCGGCGGGTCTAGATAGATAGATATCGTGGAGAATCGACCTATCGACATTAGGTATAGTTTTTCCTTTCTACAGTTATTCGCATAACCCAAATGTCTTAAGATAACCTAAGATTGTTCTTAGGCTGTAACGCCTTCTCCTTACTACCACTCCACGCTCAGATACCTATGTTTTTGAACCCATATTACAGTATCGGTAGGAGTAGTATGAGTTAATGCCTTTTGGATTGTCTGAAATAATTATTTAATTACTTTAATGACTATGATCACATGTTTTATTATATCAATATTTATAATGTAATTATTTTCTAATATCAACTATTATTTAAATGTATGTTTCCCTGTGGGGAAATGTTCAAGTCCTTATGGTATAGTTGCTGAAACTTCCTTTACTAATGTTCCTCTTATTTAATTTCCCTGTACAATACTGTGCCCTGGAACCCATATTAGTTGAACCTTGTTATACTCGGGCGCCTGTAGCTATGCCTTCGATAGGTTCGGAGCCGTAAATTTACCAGTTATGTGTTCATGCTTTAATTATATTCTACGTCTCTGTTTGACTCCAACTAAATATTTATTTTCAAAACTTATCCTTTTAGGCATGCCATCTCTGTTATACGTTGCTATTGTGAAAACGATTTAGTTCAAGTGGATTTATTTTCACTTTGCCTGTTCCTTATCGTATCACAGTTAGAAAGCCTTTTCGCAGTTCGTTCTATGACATTTTATAATAGTCACCTCGGAGCTTAGATAGGGCAGTCTTTGTGGAGTTTAATTTGACTCTCTTTAATTGATCTACTACTCCATAGTTGAAAGTTGGCTTCTAATGTAAACAGTTTCTTAGTCTATCATGAATATTTTAAGTTGTTTCCATCACTAAATTCTTGTTTTGGCGAAAATTTTTGCAAAATAGAAAATAGACAAAGAAATGTGCGTACCACATGAAATTTGAAGTCTCGCCTTATTTATCGAAGATGCCTCATATGCCTCTTATACACATGTAATCTTGCAGACGGTTGAAAAAATACGAGAGCAGCATAATTCGTTGGAAAATGACTGTAAAACCGGCGTATAAAAGCCGACGATGTACACTTAAAAAAAGGCAAATACTAATAAACTCCAAATTAAATAACACGACACAATATTAATAAACATTAAGTACTAACAGAGAAATTACCAAAATAGTTATTCTGTGAGGACAAAAACAAAAATGAGTGCGTCGCGGCTAAGCCCGCCGGATCGAAGGCTCTCAAATGCCTATTTTTCTTATTTTGCAAACAACGCCAACACAAACAACAGCAAAAGAAAGCAACATGCAAACAGAAGACTCTCATCAGTACTCAGCAAGCCCTAGACAGACGGCGAAGTTGACAGAAAAAACAAGTGAAAAAAGGTAACAGCAAGCAAACACCCAGCAGGAAATCGCCCACCAATACAAATGAAAAGGAACAGGCAAGCGGTAAGCCCAATGAGGTAAAAAAAACACAATAATACAGACAGGACTAGATCGATGTATAACTATCAAGAGGAGGAACTGGCAAAAAGCCAAGAACGCTCCAATAGCAACCGATTTTCTTTATTAAGTGAGGACAGCGCAAAGGGTACTACCACAGTGGCAAATGCCAAACCACCGCCAATTTACTTGCGCGAACGTGTCTCAAGCACGCTAGTTATTAATATTACCAAAATTGTCGGCACTAATAACTTTCACGTTGTGCCTTTAAAAAAAAGGCACAATTGATGAAACAAAAATTCAAACTTACAGTGAAAAAATCTTTATGCAAATAGTAAGTTTTCTATCGTCGAGTAATAAAAATTATTACTCATATCAATCGAAGAGCTCGAAAGGCCTAACAGTTGTAATTAAAGGTATCGAATCCTTAGTCAAGCCAGATGAAATAAAAGAGGCTCTTGAAGAAAATGATTTCAGTACTAAATTGGTTATAAATATACTTAATAGAAATAAAGTACCCCAGCCAATGTTTAAGGTAGAACTACAGCCCGATTTAAGTCAGATAAAGAAAAACGAAACCCATCCCATATACAATTTCAAATATTTGTTACATCGTAGGGTAATATTAGAAGAGCCACACAAAAGAAACAGCCCAGTGCAATACTCTAACTGTTTGCGTAACATGTGGGGACCTTTATCCCACGTCTGAATGCCCGTCAAAGAAAGATGACGTCACCATGAAAAAATATTGTAATTATGGAGGTAATCACACTGTCAATTATAGGGGCTTCCCTGTACATTAGGATCTAAAAATTAGGTTGGCAAATAATATCCAGACTCGCCGAAGTCAAATGGTAAAGACTCCTCAAATCCAAGACTTGCTTAAAGCCAAGAATAACATGCTACAAATTTTCATTCAAAAAAATGAAGGTGCTAAACATTTGTTTATGGAATGCAAACGGTGCGAACCAGCATAAAATAGAATTGACACGATGTACTTGTAGTCATATGAACATCAACCCAATATTTAATTGTGAAAACAATATTGATGACTACAATAATGAGCTAAATAATGTCCATGTTTCTGCGGCAACCATAGAATCTCCAAAAAGTAAAAAGCCTACAACGTAACCGAAAATTCTAACAGATACAGAAATAAAAGAACTAGTAAAGAATAAGCGTCGTTTGTGGAGAGTATGGCAAGAATATCGCTCTCCAGCAGCAAAGTTACGGTTAAACGCAGCAGAGAGGAAGATGAAAAGTGCACTGAAGAAGATCACAACGCCAAGGCATACATAGAAAAACTAGCGGCTGAGCTTTGATATGCAGCCCCACTTGATATTGTAAGCAAACAACCAGGAATTTCGACATGAAACTTCGTAGGAATGATGAGAGAAATATATTTTTCCAATATTTTAACTTTTGGAATTTGAATATATAATATTATAGTTTATAAGTAATTTATTGTTATAAATTGTTAACTTTATCCCATTATTTCTTTATGAAATGGTCACTATTCTCTCATTTTTGTTTAACAAACACAAATCTTACTTTTATTTTATTAAATAGTTTCACTTATTTTGTATATATTAACGCGCAAAGTAACTTAAATAAAGATTAAGAAATTATATTATAATCAAAACAAATGTTCACTTAAACATGGCTGCATACTAAAATGGATGGTGTTGCCGTACAGGGTAAAATATTCTGTAAATTCAACAATATTCAGCAATAAATATGGATTGGATGGTGGTGCCGTACCATGTAAAATATTATACAAATTAAACAATGTTCAACAACAAAATATAAAAAAAAAAAATGAAAATTTACCGCTAGTTTTATTCCAATTATTCGCTATTTCCATTCGCGGTAAGTGAAAGTCTTTTTTAAAGTGATTAACTAAGAGATAAAAATTAATTTTTTCAAAATGAATTCAGTTGAAACCGGTAAGTAAAAATTATAACGATCATATTATATAATATTATGTATATATATGTTAATAAAATACATTTATTCAGAAATTCCTTCCACCAGCAGTGGAGTGCGTGCTACTAATGTGCTGACTGCAGCAGAGATAGCGACAATGTGGAATCACGTACGCGTATATTTAGAGCTGGGCACAAGGGAACAATGTGATAAGTTTTCCGAAGGTATGGGACTTATATTAAAATCTAAATTGTGTCCAGTTCACAAAAGTAACATGTCGGTGAGTGATGCCGGCAATGAAACAGTGGGCTAGTTTAGGCGCAGCAAAGGCAGCTGCCGGACAAAGGCAAGGGTTTCCCGGGCCACCAATACATGGTTCGAAAATGCCAAGATTTCATTGCCGCTAATCTTTCGCATTATATATGGATTTGCCCACCATTGGTC